GAAGATAAGCAGTGGCATTTTCCTATTAACAACTAAAAAAATAAAAATACAGTTGCTAAGCCACTTGTAATGCATATGCTTTCTAGTGGCTTTTCTTCTACTTTGGCAAATATACCCTCTACGAGATTATTTACCGGGGAGGTTTGTGGTCGTTTTGTAGTGGACTTTTAATAGGTTAATATAAATATATGAATGAATATCTGAACAATTAGATTCGATACATCCTGTGGATATCATTATAAATTATCTTTTTATTAAAAGGAACAAGTGAGCAAACAGTTCAGCTGGTGGTAAGGGTTCTTTTTCTTTTTTTTTATAGGAGAGGGGGCAAACGAGCATGCGGCTCACCTGATGGTAGCTGCTATTTTACGTTTGTATTCTGTGAGAGTGTGGTCCTTCCTCTATCGAGCCGAGCCATTCGTGCTACAAGCATAATATAGCTGCAGCGTGGCTGTATCACGTTTCGGACTATATGTATTTGTTAGTTTATAAATGCTATATGTTTGTATGTATGCATGTGTATGTGCGTGTGTGCGTGTGGCTACCTGGTGGTGCGCGAGGCTGGCGAGCAGCGCGCGGCGCCGCTCCGCAGCAGCGCGCCGCACCTGCTCGCGCCGCTGCACCACTGCAGCACGCCGACTCGATATGCTGCACAACGACACTGCCTTTAGCACCCTTCACTTTTGTGTACTCCTTCAGTATCCAACAGTACAGTTTCCTTCTCAATGTTAAAGTTATTGTCTTTTATAGAATAAGGATGACAAACGGACACAGTCCACCTGATGGAAAGTGAATACTGTGAAGTGTGAAGAAAGGTTGAGTTGGCAGCCCAATAGATGGAGTGACGACCTGATAAGACATGTGGGAAATCAATGAATACAGGTGGCTCGGGAACGAGTTTTATGGCATTCTTTGAAGGAAGCATATGTTCAGCAGTGGACTTGTGACCAATCCGCCTTCATAGTGTTCCGATCTGCCTCCAAACGAAAGAGGTCCATATTCAGTAGTTGAATTTTGATGAAAATGGAGAAAAGAATGCAACATTTCGTAGCAGTTATTTACGTATAAAAGTTAACAAAAAACAATGTCCTCCAGACCAAATGTGACTTACTACTGTGCAGCGTAGCGTGGCGACTGCTGGTGCTCCAGAGCGGTGGCTCGCTGCACGAAGACCGTTAGCCGCTCGTCCTGGGCACTCAGGCGCGCCTCCAACTCCTCGTGCCTCTTCAACAGCGCCTCCACTTCGTCCACTGACGACTGCCAAACAAAAACATACGCATACATATATAAAGCATCACTCCCGTATACCCTAAGGGGTAGGCAGAATCAAGAGCTGCGAGCAACTTGGACCACATTTAGCCAAAGAAAACGGGGTTAAATAAACAATTATGAATAAATTAACTAGCCTATCGCCTACACAACCTCAGTTACCTATTCTATATTATAAAACCACTAACAAACAAACCGACAGTCCAGCTAGTACGTTAGTAGCTACTGCAGCCCATAAACACATGCAGTCAACCTCTATCAAAGAGGGCTACAAATGCGATGTCACATCTTAGGACTACGATGGAATGCCTAACAGCAATTTTTCCTGACCGATACGTCTTAGAGACCTTCAAGAAAAAAATATACTTCTTTTAAAATACCGGCAACGCATCTGCAATTTCCCTAGTGTTGCAATTGTTTATAGGCAGCGGTAGTCACCAACAGATGAGCCGCATGCTCGTTTACCCACTCTTATATAAAAAAGCTTGTTATTATACGGGCTCCTTATACCATACAGATCGGAACACAACAGTTATCGTCCCATTTGTCGCCGTCATCGACATACTACACAAGCAACACCAGCAGATACTTTTTGCTATAAGTCCCACATAAATAGTTACCTATGTTTTCCAGATCAACACGGGACAAACAAAAAAATACACACGACTAACGAGCACACAGTTCACCTGATGGTAAGTGGTTGCTGTGGCCCACAGACATCTACATCTACCCTCGTCTGCAAAATCCAGAAGCGTTGTCAGCCGTAAGTACTAAAATGGAATGTCTCTTTTAAAGTAAAAAGGGTCTCCGGTTCTCACACTCACCATAAAGAACACAATAATAAACTGCTATTTTACGCTGGTATTCTGCGAGAGTGTGGTCTTTCCCCGGTGGAGCCGACCCATTCGTTCTACAACTATACTATTAATATAAATGCAGCATTGTTCTAACACGTAAAAAATACATAATAATAACGATATATAGACAAAAAAGCAGAAGACGATAAGAGTTCCAATATACGAGTAAAAAAGAAAATATTACCAGGTTGTATTTCATCTTAGTCCTACTTGGAAACGCACCGCAAAACTTCTTTATCCATGGATACAGAGACTTTCCACTTGGTAGTTATATATTATCTCATTTTTCACCTTAATATTAAAGAAGCTATCAAATAGATGTTATATATTTTAAAAGTACCATCTCATGAAGAACCATGTAATGGCGGTGTAAGAATATTCACTACCTCATATCGTCCCATATGTATACGAGGCGATAGAGGGAAACAAACCAGGAGATCTGCAGCAGTGTCTTACTTATAACAAATCATCGATCACTAATAAAAAACTAGATACACAATCAATGACAAAAAATGTTCTTACCGAATAAGCGCCCACTCGAATATTTGGGTGCGCTTTTAATTTGTACGTAGCTTTGTGAATACAACTTTAGGCATTAATGTATCTTTATTTCAACTAGAATAGGGTATTTTACACCATGTAAAAAAAATCAAAGAATATATATTTATGATAGATTTCGTAAAAAGTAAACGAGAAATATTGATTTCTATTTATAAAAATGCATTATAAATTTTATATCCCACTTTAAAGAATATTTTTTTTTACCTGTGCCTCAAATCTGCAAAACGATGTCCGCCATATTAGATAGCGTCGTGACGTCACTAGGTCAAGGAACTAAGTTATGTGCTGTGTACTAACTAGCTAATTTCGAAATTTTTCAAGTTATCATTACGATTGTTGACTTTTATTCCGAATTTTATTGAAAAGGCATCATGTTAGACGGATTCGTAAAAGAGAGTTTATTACTTCGCTTTTAGCACTAATGTTATAGATATTATGATATAAGCTTAGGTGAGAAAAACTTTTCGTTATATTTTTTTGTACAAACCCTCAGACGAAATAAAAAGTAACTTTTTTATTTGGTCCGAGTACAAACCATGTCTTTATTCCCATATAATAGAAGAAAACAGGAATAAGTAAAACACTGCACTGCACTTGCAAGGGCGATCAATATGGCCCACAAAGGGCGGGACAGACGAGCGATTAACCTAATCTATTACAAAATTTGACTTGCAGTAGGTACCTATCATGTCATGATGTTTAGTTTTGTTTAATCGATAGTTAAATATAAGTCATACTTTTTTTTTTTATAGGATCGGGTGACAAACGAGCACACAGTCCACCTGATGGTAAGTGGTTACTGTGACCCATAGACATCTACATCTATCCTCAATAAAGACTCAAGATGCACATGCGTTGTCACCCGTGAGGACTAAGATGGAATACCTCTTTGCCAGTAAAAAGGGTCTCCGGTTCTCTACACTCACCATACGAAACACAGCAGCGTTAAGCTGCTATTTTACGCTGGTTTTCTGTGAGAGCGTGGTCCTTCCCCGTTCGAGCCGACCCATTCGTACTACAACCATAATATAGCTGCAGCATGGCTCTACCACGTACTTACATCAAAGTGATCTTGACAGAAGTATAGTTTAGATTTTGTAGACAATGCCTTCGGGTCTCTTCTTGCCAGTTTTAACCAAGTATTTCTCATATTTAAACCAGTTGGCAATTTAATCCATAACTTCCCCGGCGTTCTTATGTTCATATTTTTGCAATCAGGCACAACACAACAATGATATAAATGATAACTCATTACTAAACATTCAAAAGTATCTTATTCCTTTGCAAAATTGTCAAAATTCTACGATAGTGACGTCATGAGTTGAACAGTATGGCGGCTAGCGTTTTCACGCGAAAATTTAAAACGATAGATTAAAAGTAATTTTTATGTCACTATTCGGTTTTAAAAAATTTATATAAAAATTATAGTGGTTCATTATCACTATAATTAAAACACTTTCTGAAAATGAGTGTAATACCCTATTACGTCAAAATAATTGAAGACAGTTTTTAGAGAACTTTTGCATGGGATTGTGTATCTAGTTTTTTACTAGTGATCGATGTAACTAATAGATAAAAAATGCTATTTATAGGGAGAATTAGATTCTTTCTTTCTTTGGTAATGGACTCGTACGGTTATACTTTTGCCAGTACCAAGTAATAAGTAAATATTTTTTAAGGTACACTTCTTCATAATATACTGATGCGTCACATTGCGAAGTTTTTGAGGGCAGCTTGAGCCAACAGAAAGTCGATGATGATATTATCTCAAAGCGCCTAAGCAGATACATTGTCTTGAGGTTAACATCACCATCGGAGCACTTGTTTCATCCTTTCCATTGATAGCTCACATATGCAGGCATTTATTGCGTAAAATCGCACCACATTTACATATCGAAATCCAATTGAAAACAATATTTAAACAATAATACAGGAGCTGTACCGTAGAAATTCCCCCAAAATTCAGACTTATATTCAGCAGTAGATATTTGATAGGTAATAATGAATGAATAACGGTTAAAATTCTGAATTTTAACCGTGTAGAGGTGGTGTCAGAAAATCCACAACCCCATATAGTCCTCGAGGGTATCGTAATAGACGACAGATAGAAAATGAAACAGAAGATGAGTAGCAGCATCTTCCTGATAACAACTCAAAACTATAAAAAACTGCTGTAGCTAACCTGCTTGCCAAGCGTGACATCTATTGCAAAATCCCATCGAGGCCTATGTTCAGCAGTGGACTTTTATAAGCTGTAATGGATGAGATTTCTGAATGAATAAATGTATTGAAAAGATGCTCACGCCACACTGGTTATACTCGAGGAACGCCTCGTGGGCCCCGCTGGAGGCGTCGATCTGGTCCGCCTCGCGGTTGAAGCTCTGCAGCTGAACGCACTGCTTCAGGAACGCGTCCTTCTCCTTCCATTCTAGAAGGAGCATCAATAATAAAACTTCAGACTCAAAACACATACTGCCAATTGAAAACTAATCTCGAGCTAATCATGATATCATCTTGTCTATGGCCTTTTCTCTTTGCATTAGAATTGTGTATGTGGTAGAGCTACGCGGCAGTAGGTGAGTAACAATTCCAAACAGTGGAATAGAGTAAAATATTTTTTATTCAATATAGATTACAAATAATTCAGAGAGCACGAGGGATCTGTGACAGAAAACATCTGGCCGCCGAGCTTCAGCACGTCGAGCAAGTACTGCAAGACAACAAGCTTCGAGTCCCGCACCTACGTCACAGTGACCGAGTGAAGCCAGCCACAGTCGAGCGTGTGCCTGCTGTACTACCCTATGTCAGAGGAGTCACAGACAAGGTTGGCTACATCTTGAAGCGAGCTTCCATTAAAACATACTTCAAGCCGCTGAAGAAGATTGGTCAATTTTTACCATCCGTCAAGTGTCATATCCCTCTACAAGATGCAGGAGTGTACAAGTTGGATTGTGAATGTGGTCTCTCGTATATAGGACAAACAAAAAGATCTATAAAACCCGCATTAAAGAACATATAGCTGACGTGAAGCACCGACGTATCGGGAAGTCTGCAGTTTGTGAACATGTTCAAGATCGTCCCCGCCATTACATTAGATTTGATAGACCACAAATCCTCGCAAAAGAACACCGATTCCTCCCAAGGATGATTCGCGAGGCTATTGAAATTAAAAAACATCCTAATTTCAATAGAGAAGATGGATGGGTGCTGCCATCTGCTTGGGATCCTATAATTAATAAAATCAAATCCAAACCCAAGTATACCACTGCTAGACTTCAAGATAATGTAAGATCATTCTGCGTAAATCGAACCAAAAATTAATATTAAACAACTGAAGGTAGCCGGGCTAACTATGACAGCAGGACGTCAAACGCCTCAGTCCCCCGTGACCACGGGTGCTGGAAAGCACCCGAAACGTCGGGAATATAAAAATAAGTTAATATACGCGATAAAATCCGTAAAATTAGTTTTATTTAAATGTGTAGTGTTCGCGTAAATATAAGAAATCAATAATATGCTTATTCGAGCCATGAGATCTCCCCGAAGAAGCTCAACAATCCTTTGATGTTACATGCAACTTCGGGGAGTGATCTCGGCGTGCCGAGATATTTAGCCCTGTACGTAGCGACCTCCGGACATTTCAATAGCACTTGGGCCGCCGTTTCTTCTTCCCCCATACATGCCCTACACAGGGGACTATCTGTAACACCTATAGTAAATAAATGCTTGTTAAAGTTGCCGTGTCCTGTGATAGCACTTGTTACTATCCTGATCTGCGGCTTGTTCAGTCTCATTAGAACTTTGGTTAAACGACTGTTTATTTCAGGCAGGGCCTCCCTAGCTTGTCTACAGTCTACTAGATTTTTCCAAAGCTGAGCGTGTAGATTAGTGAAGTGTCTACGTACCAGTGAACGAACATTACCAAAGGGGATTGGTATGATTGGTTCCGAACAACAAAGTGATCCTATAAGGGTTCCGTTTTTTCCTTTTGAGGTACGGACCCTAAAAAGAATACATATATATATATATATATATATATATATATATATATATATTATACATATACTACTAACATATATACATACAAAAACTAAAATAAATATATAATCAATTATCTAATAAAATGCAACCATTATACTACATACTATATTATATTTAATGGCTAGTGTGGAAAGTGTGTATACTAAACTAATATAAAAACATGAATGCCCAAAATATAAATAATTTTAACTAAAATTATGATAATATTATAAATTATTTTAGTGTCCACCGCGGCTCCATAACTTTTGTAGCTAAATTCGAACAAGCAAACAGAAACGAAACAAAACGACGTAGCTTGCAAGGCAATAACGGGAAAAAGTACTTTAATTTGTTATTACTTAAGGTTGGTTTCACACTAAATGTTATTTAACTTATGTCTTTTCATTTCCAAGTGACAGGAGTAATGCATTGAATTGTTCTTTTTTGTAACTAATGATCGTAAGATTTGTGACTTTATTACTAGATGCTATGGTTGTAATTGGGTTGAACATAAAACTGTTTTAATTTTTGTCTCAGTTCTTTAGTAAACAAATGTAGCTGTATAAGTATATATTCACGCGGACAGCATTTAGCTATGATTTTGTACGTCACCCGTTATCTAGTTAGTATTGTTGATCGAAGTTTTTGATAGAAAGATCCTTAGTAAGTACTCACTCGTCGTCATGGGCCTTGATGTCATCTCGTAGTTCTTTGTGTTGCTTGTGGAGTGCCTCGGCGGTGGCCACGTCCTTCGCGCTCACCTCCTGGGAGAGCTGCTCACGTACTTTCTGTAAAGCAATCAATTAAATGAATAAAATTTTAAGTGTTTGAAGCCAGGCTGCAGCTGTATTTTGACTGCAGTACGACGTTCCGTAAGAGTGTACACTACCGTATATCGTCCTGTAGTTGGCGGAAGAGGCGTCAAAGGGGGGATAAAACAGAAGATGGGCAGCAGCGTTAATATTTTCGTTTTATATGTGGCAGAGCTAAGCTGCAGTTATATTATGGTTGCAGCACCAATGGGTCGGCTACATACAGAAGCTAAATGCAGCTGTATTTCGTATGGTGAGTGTAGAGAACCAGAGACCCTTTTTACTGGAAACGAGGCATTCCATCTTAGTCTTCAGGGGTGATCGTGAGGACTGTGTGGCTCATTTGTCACCGCTATCCTATAAAAAGCGTCTCCTTAATAACATTAATACATACATACATATAATCACGCCTCTTTCCCGTAGGGGTAGGCAGAGACCACTTCTTTCCACTTGCTACGATCCTTACATACTTGAACACATTTCATAATTACATTAATGTAATTATGAAATGTAATTTATGTTATAATTGTATAATTTATAATTATTTATTATAATTTATATAATAATATGTAGATTTTTCAGTCATTAGAAATATATGCACTAAGTTTGTCTTATTTCATATATTTACCTTTTAGGGTCTACTGGAAGATATTTTAGTAAACAAAGTATTTTAATTCCTAAAGGAGGATAGATGAACATGTGTATGGGTCACAGCATCCACTTAACATCATGTGAACTGTGTGTTCGTTTTTCATAATATTATTTTAAAAAGCATAGCAATATCTGACCTGCAGCCAGTCCTGCAGCTGGGCGCTGCTGCTGCCGAACACCTGGTGCCCGACGGCGCTCTCCAGGCGACTGCGACGTTCAGCTGCTTGCGCCTGGCAGCGCTGCCACGCCTTCTCTATCTGCTGCTGCCTGGACACCACGTTGCCACGCTCGCTCGGATACTGGGACTTCACGCTACGGCCAAACATTTGATTAATTAGTTAACGTCCTCCAGACCGAATCCATTAATGGCTCGTCTCACCAGAGACTAGCCATTAATGGAGTATTAGTACAAGACGGGATTATAGTGCGTGAGTGTTGTTACCGTTACACAAAGATCTAAACCTTAATATTTATCACGTCATTATAAGATAATATATAACTTCTTTAAACTAGATCCCTCGAGCCAGATTCGCGCACAATTTTACATTAACTCCTATAAATAATAAAGCGTTTACTACAACATATAAGAATCGAGGCTTCAAAAGAAGCCTTCAGATGCATTATAAGCCTCGACGATTAACATACCGAAATGCAATATCGAGGGTATATTCAATGACATGATAATATCCTCCAGAACGAATTTTGGTACCAGTGAGTAGCCACTAGCGCAGGACAGGATAATAGTGTACTTGTGTGCAAGCACAGGTGCACTCTCTATTCCCTCATATAAATTAGGAACTTAAGTGGACCAAAAATAGAAACACTATTTTTTGGGGAACACTATTTTTTGCTATGACTTTTTTCAACTCTTTGTTTTGGATTTGAGAATATAAAAACATAAATTCTAATAAGATATCAGGTACACTTTAGTGCTTAAAATTAAAATTATTAATCGTGCAAACCAATTCCTTTGGTAGATCACAAGCATACTTATGGCAATACGAAAATATTCCCAAGTAGGAAACATTTAACAGAAGAAAATGGAATAAGTGTTTATGACGAAAGATTTTTTGTTGACAAGTTGGAGTGTCCACTTGGTAAGGCATGCAGGACGTTGATGAATGTAGGTGGCTAAAGACTTGAGTTTTTTGGTATTCCTTGGGTGAGATCCATGTTCAGCTATGGTCTTGTGAGGGGCTGTAATGACGATCATGATAGAAGAAAGAGTAATGGGTTTTCTAATGTATTAAGTACACAGTGAAACATTAATATAATAATGTAGATTAACACAAAGGTACCGAATATATAGCAATATGAGAGTGAGCAGGGAGGTTTATGAGGATGACATGAGTTTTAATTTGTTGAAACATACCCATTAGTTCTGTACCACTCAATGAGGCTGCGTGAAAAGTATAGAGAATGATTGTTTATTTGCCTGAAGTATGGAGTGTAGAGTAGAAGGAGGACCATCTCTGTATATGAAAAGTGTCCCTAAAAACGCGTCCAATAAGGGTGGCGCTGCAGTAGCATAGGATAAATTAAAAAAAAGCGCCAAAATTTATTAGAATAAGATGGAGAAATAAACAAGGACCGACCAATTCGCTTGGTTTTGTACTACGTAAATAGTTGAGGTTTTGTATACTGGCATTTTACTAACTACTCTAGTCATGAAATTTTTTAAATATTTTAATTCAGCTGACTTCACTCCATCTACAACAGCTATATTCATATCGTAATTTTTCAGACGCCAGCGCTATTGTGGTAGGTTTTGGAACCTCTATTTTCAGTATATATTGGGACACTTTTTCAACTTTCGCACCTTATAAGATGGTTCTCCTTCTACTCTACACTCCATAGCCTGAAGGAATAGTCAATTATGTAAATAAAAATGCGTTTTTGTGTAAGTTATAAACGTTTTTTTCATTTGCACTTAACTTAAGTTTCTGTACTGTAAGAGGCTGTCTGAAAGTGGAGGGTGACAATAAGGTATACTAAATTCTTATAGATTTATAAGGCGTCTATTTTCAAAGTGTATATTTCCAGTAATGGACTGTTAAAAAGCCTAATTATGTTTTGAATCATGACCGTTGTCATTTTGACGAAGTTAAGTCTTGATTTTGATGAAGCATTCTCTGCATGACCGGATTAAAATTGGGCATGTTACTCACGCAGCAGCATTTCATTCGATGATATGAAATCATTAACAATGTTTTGTCGAAAACACTTCTATTACCTGACCTGACTAAAACTTTGTTGAATGGATTTATTTGTCGGAAATCACAACAGGAGATCCCACTTCTGATGTTTAAAAGGGGATTCCAATTTTGATCTTGGAAATACATCAGGATAGCCTTAATTATTAAAAATAATAAAAGTGTGAGAGCGGATGTTCAACTTGCTCTCTTGCTTACGCAGTTTAATCATTATCACTAAGAAGACAATGTAACGCACTATACATTCAGTATAGTGAAATTACAGTTCGACCACACCGTAACACGTCTCCGCCACAATCACACACCAGTGTAACGTGAGGTACGTAATTACATGATAACACCAAAATATGTAAACCAACAGCAACACTACTATCTCAATGTAACACAGGGCAGCCTCTCAGCAACACCAATCCTCTTTGCCTGCACTAGAAGAATTACAACAACGAACAGAACCACGACACTATCTTAGCACTAGTAGAATGACCACACTCGTTGAATGACTTAGGCGGAATCTCTCGCGCACGGCACCTACAGTGAACTTTATACTGCACAAACAAGCGGGGGTTTCTCGATATACCCTCCTTGTCCACCTCGATCCAAGTGATAACTTATAGACGCTCCGACACGGCCATCCTGAAGTGCGACCGTCCTCGGTCGTGTATCTTTATACATTCCTGTAACAAACACCAATTCGTCCGCTCGTCCATCCTGACATGAGTGGGTACATATTATTAGTTAGGAAAACTAATTGTTAGATGGCGCTGCTTGTTGCACTATGGCGCCATCAATTCACGACACGGCCATTCCTGACTAGCACTCGTCCTCGGTTGCAGTGCCTGGAGACATGCTCAGAGATTAATCTAGCTCGGCTATTCTGCCAATAGAAACAAGGTCGATTCCAAATGGTACTTTACTTCTCCTAAGTCTAATACTCTCCAAGTACAATAGTGAACTGTCATAATTGACAATGCCTTGTTATTAAGGCTTCGTAAACAGTGCTTCCTGCATAATATGATTTATTGTGAAAGGTCCGATCAACAAGTTCCAATACAGTAATTTTAACAATTTTGTTACTCTTTAACATAATTTATAAGCAATGCATATTCAACTCGTGAAACTTTCAATCTGTGCACCAACACAGACCAGAATCGCACCAACGGTTCTTTACATATCCGTTGTCACATATGCCAGAATCGCACCAACGATTCTCCACATATCTGCCGTCATATATGCTACAATACACAAGGGGCTCTGTGCACCAACACAGGCCAGAATCGCACCAACGATTCTTTACATATCTGCCGTTACATATGCAAAAATCGCACCAACGATTCTCCACATATCCACCGCAAAATATGCTACAACAAATCTGTCGCCACATATGCCAGAATCGCACCAACGATTCCCTACATATCTGTCGCCAAATATACACCAAAGAATCGCACCAACGATTCCCTACATACCCATCGCCACATGTTACTCATGAGGTGCGGTCTAAGGTTTCGAGTATGAGTACACAAGCAATTCATAATCAGATTTGGTTTCACTACCGCTGCCATCAACTATGACATCTAATTATCGAGGAACTTGGTGATCGGGGATCTTCCTCACGTGATCATGGGGGTATTTGTTACTTTGCACAATAAACATTAACCGATTCTGGTTAAAATTACAATATTATTCACTCTTTTGCCATTAAACTTTGGCACAACACAATCTTTGATGAGAGTGCATTCGGCCCAGAATCATAATAAAATGGGTACGACTCACCAGTATCATCAGCATACCGCTGGGATTGCGCACATAGTAAACATCAACACATCGCTCACTGCTCGCCTCTGCGGCAGGCGTAAGGCAAGGGCAGGTGGCTATTAAAACAAACCAGCACACGCCATACTTAGCTACCATGTGGCAAGCGCACGTGGCTAAAAGAACAGCACAGGGCGTGCCGCACTCGCACTGCAAGCCGTCGCGCCGCACCAGCGCCAGCGAAACGCTGCGCCGCATCACGCACTCGAAGCGTCAACGAGAGCAGCAGGAGCACCTGAGGGTTCACAGGCATCGTCGGGGTTGTAGTCATCATGATATGCGTGAAAAACAAATTGTTAACTATCAGGACAACATACACAGTTGCCTATCCTCTCATCCATCACGCATACGAGTCCCTCAAACAGAAATACGCTTTCATACCGTGGACTACAAGAAAGCACTTCGCTTTCACAAGTAAACATAGGTCTTCATACGAAGTCTCTGACACATACTCTTACTTGAACTTGCGAGATCCCACGTTAACCACGTGAACCACGTTAAAACGTGAACCGGGATAGCGCCTGCCAGGACAGACACTGACGCATATTCAGAGAACACGACTTCCGCGCATACAGTGTACGACTTCAGCGCACACATAGTGTAAGACTTCCGAGGCACAGCCGGGACGGCGCCTGCGTATACGCGTCTGCCGAAACCAGGCTATGTTATAGCTGGACCCGGCAGTCCGTTCCGACCAGCAAGGCACACACGTACTACTGTAACACAAAAGAAAACATTAAAAATATTTAATACGAACTTTTTTTTCAAAAAAAAAATGCAGCACTACTCTCGGGACACCATTTGCCTTTCCAGGACCATATACTGAGCTGTGACTACACGACAACCTCTGGTACAGTACGATCCTCATGTAAACTTAAATACTCTCTTCGATGTGATAAATAATTTGCTCTACTTCAATTTCGTCAGTTATACTTTGGTTTTCCAGCATTTTTCGCAAACAATTAAAAAGTTAACCTTAAGATAAATTTACTTTCCTCATGTATCAAATGGTGATTGGTAGCAGCGGCAATTAACGTGGTCGCAGCGTCATAAGCCGACAACATACTTCCAATCAAGAGCGAGCGCCACAGCACCACGCGTTCCACTAAACCCTCAACATCAAATCCCAATTTTACCGACTACGTAATACTCGCAGTAAACTGTAACACTTATCAACACAGAACACAGAAATACAACTTAATGTTTTTAATTAATAGCACGTTAACGTTAAACATTTTTCCGTACATCGTTTAAACATTTTAAACTTTAAAATTAGCCCATGTAAATCACACCTCGTGTATCCAATTATAACATAACTCGAGCAAGTTAAACTTCCATAGAATGCGAACTATAACTCATTTAGAATACCTCCAACATTTCTTTCGACATTTGTTATCATATTTGGGTACGTTTAGAAATAATGAAAGTACTTGCGGGTATTTTTTATTATGATTCGAACAAAAAGATTTAACTTTTGCCTTAAAACACTTCATTTTTAACTTTTACTCTACACTTCAACGATTCGTCAGTGTCGTAAATATGACAACGTAATAACTCACACTATTCAAAGGTTAAAGGTGGACAGTAACAGGGACTTTATCCCACTTCTGATGTCGGAAATCACAACAGGAGATCCCACTTCTGATGTCGGAGAATTACAACAGGGGATTCCAATTTTGATCTTGGAAATACATCAGGATAGCGTTAATTATTAAAAATAATAAAAGTGTGAGAGCGGATGTTCAACTTGCTCTCTTGCTTACGCAGTTTAATCATTATTACTAAGAAGACAACGTAACGCACTATACATTCAGTATAGTGAAATTACAGTTCGATCACACCGTAACACGTCTCCGCCACAATCACACACCAGTGTAACGTGAGGTACGTAATTACATCATAACACCAAAATATGTAAACCAACAGCAACACTACTATCTCAATGTAACACAGGGCAGCCTCTCAGCAACACCAATCCTCTTTGCCTGCACTAGAAGAATTACAACAATGAACAGAACCACGACACTATCTTAGCACTAGTAGAATGACCACACTCGTTGAATGACTTAGGCGGAATCTCTCGCGCACGGCACCTACAGTGAATTTTATACTGCACAAACAAGTGTGGGTTTCTCGATATACCCTCCTGTCCACCTCGATCCAAGTGATAATTTATAGACGCTTCGACATATTAATTATACGTTTGAAATTGAGATAAAAGCAGAATGTTATAGCTCTGCGAAGCATAGCAGAGAAAGAGGAAGGAAGACGGGAAAGGAGGATGAAGAGTGAAAGGGAAGAGAGATGGGAAGGGAGAGGGCAGAGGAAAGGGAAAACGAGGAAGTAAAAAGAGCAGAGACATGTTTTGAAGAGATGTAAAATATGGCGACGGAAAGAGAAAGAGAGAAGGATAGAGAGAGAGAGAAGGGTAGAGAGAGAGAGAAGGATAGAGAGAGGGAGAGGGAGAGAGAGAGAGCTGCACTCACGAGTCGGCGAGCAACGCGACGGTGTTGACCTTGTCGCGCAGCGGCTCCAGCGCGCGCTCCAGCTGCGCGTGGCGGCGCTGCAGCGCGCGCACCGTGCGCAGGTCCGTGGCGGGCGCGGCCACGCCTGCCAGCTGCTGCTCCTTCTCTGCCATCCAGTCCAGCGCCTCGTCGCAAGTGCGTTGGAACAGCTCCACGCTGCAAGCGTTACGTCACTTTCAACTAGGTTCAACGATTGTTGTGTGGTGGCGTAAAAGATTTTACCACCTCATTTTAAGTCGTAAACGAGGCCTTTTTTATAGGATAAGGGTAACAAACGAGCACACAGTCCACCTGATGGTAAGTTATTGCTGTAGCCCCTGTCTATACATCTACGTCTATCCTCGATTACTAATCAAAATGCAGATTCCCCGGTCGAGCCAACCCATTCATGGCACAACTATACCAATAATATAGCTGCAAGTTAATAAAGTGTAATATGGTGGTAAAACTCTCATGTTTATAATTAAATTTAGATTAACCTAAAGATGATGTAGACAACTGTATTTATGTAGATATGATAAAAGTCGTAATTACATATCTTCGAAAGTTACATAACAGGTTAGGAACCCCGATATTTGCTTTCTCTCCACATGTTTTATGCGTGATAGAGCCACTTTACAGCTATATTACGATTGTAGTATAAATAGGTCAGGAGAGGACGACGCTCTCAGAGAATACCAGCGCAAAATATAAGCTAAATGATGTTGTGTTTCGAATGGTGAATGTAGAAAACCGGGAGACCATTTTTAATCCAAAAGAAACATTCAATCTTAGTCCTCAAAGATGACAAAACATCTGCATTTTAATTTTTAATTGAGGATAAATGTAGATATTTATAAACCACGAGATCCACTTACCATCAGGTAGACTATGTGCTCGTTTATCACCCTATTCTATAAAAAATGTCACTATCCCACGTAGTTTACTCTAAAATAAGATGAGTAAGCAAATATATTCAAGTTATAAAAAGAAAAAAAGTTTGCAAAAATGAGGAATTAATATTTGTGAAAAATTATCTGTGTTTTCAAACGTTTTTGTACATTATTTTCAGATATTGTAAATATCAGGTGAACTATGTGCTCGTATGTCAGCCTAATCTATACATCTATCTATACAAATAAATAAAATTGAAGTGTCTGTTTGTAATGTCAAAATTACAGTTTTTTACTAAATGCATATGAAAGTAAATACGATACCTATAACTAAAATACAATTTTTAAAATTTTTGTCTGTCTGTCTGTCTGTCTGTCTGTCTGTCTGTTTGTTCCGGGTAATCTCCGAAACGGCTGGACCGATTTTGACGGGACTTTCACTGGCAGATAGCTGATTTCATAAGGAGTAACTTAGGCTACTTTTATTTTAGAAAAAGAATTAGAGTTCCGCGCAAAAACATAAAAACCCTAACACGCGAACGAAGTCGCGGGGAACAGCTAGTTCTATATAAAAAGAAAAGATAACATTCCATATTTATTTTATATAAAATTTGAACTGCTACCTATTGAAAATTACTTAACAGGATAACCCAAAGTCACGAATGGGTTTGTTCAACAATGCTCTCACTGAATACCGGTCTCTAATAGTAGTTTCCTGCTGCCGTGTTCCATATGCTATGTGTAGAGAACCGGAGACCCTTTTTACAGGTAACAAAGTATTTCATCTTAGTCTACACGGGTGACAATGCATCTGCATTTTGATTCTTAATGTAAGACATATGTACATAAATGTCTACGAGCCACAACATTCATGACTGTGTACTCGTTTTACTCTACCGATACTGGTCTAGTCCAAACGTAGTAAACGAGGCCTTCAAAAAGATCAAGATAGTGTTGTGGTTATGTGAGTATGGTGGTGATGATGACCTGGAGGCGCCCTCCAGGTGTGTCTCAGTCTGGTGCTTGAGTTGCAGCAGGCGCTCCCACTGCTGGCGCAGCTGTTGGCGACGCGCAGCAGCTCCCGCTGCTTGCCCGTGCTTCGCTGCTGCCAACTCCTCAGCAGCAGCGTCGATGCGCTCCAGCCGCTTCGATGCGGCCGACAGGTCCGTCACCAGTTTCTGCACGAGCGTAAAAACATATACGGATAAAACACTTTCAAAGTAGAGACAAAACGTGTGGCGTTTTAACAAAAATGTAGAACTATTTTTCTGCTTACAGTCCGTCTGGATAAGTAATTATATATATGCGTATGCTTTTATTTTTCGGTCTGCTTCGGCTTTTAAATGAACACAATAAATGTCATTGTCATACTTTTCATAATAATATTGCTTGGCAAATTGTAAAAATGCCGGAATAAACTGGTGTCTGAAGTAGAATCTTTGTTGAACATAGTTTCGGATTGGGGGCGGCTAAATCTAGTCCAGTTCAATCCCCAGAAGACACAAATTTATGAGTTTACCGCTAAAAAGAACCCATTCGTAGTATCTCCTCAATTTCAGGGCACTCCCTCGTTGCCTTGGCTAGCATCAGAATCCTCGGCGTAGTCATATCAAAAGACGTTCTATTTCGCGGGCACTTAGAAAAGAAGGTCAAATTGGCAAAAAAACGAATATAACAGAACTCAGTTTTTTTTTTTACTATCGAAACACCAATTTAATGTATTCTTATTACAGCACATGGTAAACAACATTTAAAATTAAGCGAGGAGAACCACATACCCATTTTACTGGTAAAGAGTCATCAGAGTTGACAACGCATTTGTATTTTGATGGAAGCGTCTATGGACCACAGCATCCACTTTCCATCATGTTAATTGTGAACTTATTCTATAAAAAAAATTAAGTCACCGCGGTTTTGATTTTTTCTCACCTCATACTTCCTCTTGGCCTTGTCCACGCTATCCTCAGGGTCGTCAGAGCGCAGCATCTTTTCCTTCTTGATCCACTTGTCGAAATCATCGCACTCGGCGAAGAAGCTATAGAGTTTGATCGCGTCCTCGAGATGGGCGCGGCGAGCCTCGGACAACTTTAGTAGTTCATCTGTGGACGTGTTTTTGGGTTAGTCATATTTGTCTATTCCTTATATATACATTATGTGGGGAATTTATATTATGAATACAAATAAAATAATTTATATATTTAAATTCATAATTAACTTTCAAAATATGTATCAAAGTACTATTTTACAAAATCAATGTTATTATTAACCATAAAGAAAGTTATTTGAAAAAACATTTTAATATTTTTATAATAATACCTTTTTTATAAATTTTCGATAGTTATACATGAGGCCTTTTTGACAGTTTTGTAGCTTCATTTATTTGTGATAGCGAAATTTACTTCATTCTATAGGTAAAGTTATTTTATTGAACATAAATTGATTGACTCTCAAGGTGGTACATAAAATAAACGCTAAATAGCCCAAACACGACTAATTTATTATGATAGATAAGATATGAAAGCATGGACTGGTATGAACGGATTGAATATGATAATTTTATTTATTTAAAAAAGTTATATTAACCATCTTTAAAGTACACACATAGAATTAAAAACACATAGAGAAGATCGCGATAATAGGAAACACTGTACACTCTATTTTCAGGCTAAATATGTTTGTCTCTTTTAAGTGTAGCTTTTTCGTTTCATCGAGTTCAAATCACAACGATTTTAGATGTGGCGGCGCTGTTTCGCGCCACAGCAGTTTTCACTAGAATAAAAATAAATGTTTTTTTTTTTATACAATCGGGTGACAAACGAGCACACACTCCACCTGATGGTAAGTGGTTACTGTGACCCATAGATATCTACATCTATCCTCAATAAAGAATCAAAATGCAGATGCGTTGTCCACCCGTGAAGACTAAGGTGGAATGCCTCTTGTCCAGTAAAAAGCGTCTCCGGTTCTCTACACTCACCATACGAAATACAGCAGCGTTAAGCTGCTATTTTACGCTGGTATTCTGTGAGAGCGTGGTCCTTCCCCGGTCGAGCCGCCCCATTCGTGCTACAACTATATTACTAATATAGCTGCAGCATGGCTCTACCACGTTAAAACTAACTGTGAAGAGAAACCAACCATATTGCTGATCGATGTGGTCCATTCTGTCACCAACAGCGTGCGCCTTGGCCAGGGCCACGGGCTGAGCCCTGGAGGCCCTGCGGGCGGGCCGCGCGGCCGCCCGGCGCACCGGCACCACTTGCTACACCAGCACGGTTTTCTTCACCCGCTGCACGGTCTTCACTTTCTCCGGACGCCGTACTTGCACCTGTGTGTAATGTTGAATTTTAATTATTTTTAATTCCCAACGTTTCGGGTGCTTTGCAGCACAGAGGGACTTAACATGACATTGGGTGACTTGTAATGTACATGATTGTAAGTTGTTCTTTTTTTAATATGCTGCTGTTTTTCTTACTGGTTCTTCCCAGGTAAGAGATATTTTCCAAACGAGTGTTAAATTAAACATAAGAATGACTTTCAATAAGAAATTTTACTAGCACCCTGCCTCGACTTAGTCTTGATAAAATCTATTCATGTATCGTTATTTAGATTTAAGACAATCAAAGATCATTTATTCTTATCAATCGCCCGGTTTTTTTACAAAATAATCTAATATAAAAATTTAATAAAATAGTCTGGTTAAAATAAAGTTGTCTAGATAAAATATAACCTAGAGCCCTCCTGGCATTGCTCCCTATCCGTTTCGTTTTATAATTGATTCAACCATAGGTACCGAAGATTAGCCCGGACGGACAGACAGACGGACAAAACTTTAATTTTTTTTTATTTATGTCTTACTGTTAAAGCCTTAATAAAGTCCACTGCTAAACATAACTCGCCGCCATAGAGGGGGGTATTTGCAATAGTTGCCACGCTTGGCACGCAGGTTGGCAACCGCAGTTTATTTTTATTTTAATCGTTATTATGAAGACGCTGCTACTATCTCCTGGTTTATTTCCTTTTGTCGTCTCTTACGACTACCAGGGAATAATATGAGGTAGTGGATATTATACAAAAAATTATATGTGTTACAAATACATTTAATTTAATGCGTTTATAACACATTTTCACTTTAAAAAGAGCACAAATTTTTCCCTTCACATATTTATATATAGATTGTAGCACATAGTTTTAAAAAGTTCATGAATAAATATCACTAGCGTCTATTGAAATGAAGGCTCATTTAAAACAAAATAATATTTCTTTCAAGGCAAGATGAGAAAAAGTGCGAGGAAGATAGATATTAATAATAATATAATAATAATATTTTACTCAGACTCAGTCCATAGAGATGTTAGTATAACAATAATAATAATAATAATTTATGTATTTTTTATGTATTTATTTTATTTTATTCATATTTATGTATGTTTACCATTTTCATTTACAATTATATATTTATACTGCCCAACCAGATGAGAAAACTTTATAGATACCCCAACAATAATAATAACAATAAAGGCGTAGGGAAGTGATGACCCCATCGCCCGCTGACGTAACAGTTAAGTGACAAAACTGCTATGTCACCGCAGTCAGTCAGTGCCTTGCCAAGAGGTGTGAGCGCCGTGCCTCGGCAGTATTGAGGGTGCAAAGGCCCGTTTGTGCTTACGGCCACACTATTAAACGGCGCCGGGTCTGGGCGTCTCCCGTTAATTGACGCCCAATTTAATGGATGATGGATATAAATAGAACGCGCATAGGGCCGCTGCCTGGGGGTCGCCGGGGCGCGTCTGGAGCTGGCGCTGGACGTGACAGCATGCGAGCCGCCAGCCGAGCGCGAGGTGCTGCACGACCACCTAGCAGCCCCTCGCGTCCATCATCCCCACCAGACGGCTTGGTGTCGGCGGTGTCCTCTCGGACTCGGCAAGCGGCACCCGCCGCTGGTGGAGTACGCCGCATGCGTTGGACAAAAAATATGAACATAAACGCATTGCGGGCGTACTATAGGGCGAAAGGGGAAGAAACTGGAGGGATAGCGTATCGGGCTCGGATGCATCGCTTTTTTGCTGAGCTTGAGCCGTCAGTTCCCGTCACGGAGCAAAACCTGGCAGACCGAGTTCGGTACATCATACGCTCGAAAATATTTGATGATGCCGAACTCGAACGACTACGACGTGAGGCTATTCCCTCATCGAATGAACCGGCTATAGCTGGAGATGCGGCTCCTCAGGCTACAGACCAGCAGCCACATATAGAGGGCGCCATGGATCTCCCCGCTCTGGTTGATTCAGGCGATGATGGAATGGTCACCCAAGAACTAGAGCAGATGAGGAGTAAATTGGAGGAGGCGATTGTGGAAACGCGCAGTACGCCTCTCGAAAATCGACTGCGACTCCCGCGCATACCCCTAAGCAAGCGGAATCGGGCTGTCGTGAGGGCTCTCAACCCAATGCTGGTGACCTATTTGGAAGCCAGCCGTGACCTTTGCGAGACGGACTCAATTCTTTTTGGCGCCGCACTGGCAGTTTGCCGTATTGTTGGCACCAAACTTCCCACGGCTGGACGCGCTACTAGACAAAGTAGCGTCATCCCAGCCTGGAGAAGAAGGATTGAGGACCGTATCGTAAAGGCAAGGGCCCTCATCGGCAGGCTGATAAGCTTCAGGTCGGGCAATAATAGGCCGAGAATTGTGCGCACCGTCAGAATGGCGTTTGCTGGGACAAATATCAGTTTGTCCCAGCCGGATATAACGCAAAAACTGACGGAGCGCATAGACGACCTAAAGCAGAGAATCGCTGCTTGGGGGAAGCGGATTCGGCGATATACCGAGAGGTCGACACGGTTCAACCAGAATAGTCTCTTTCAGAGTGATCAGAAGAGGCTCTATGAATCATTGGAGCGGCCAATGGTACGTGGAACGGGCCCAGCACCGAATCAGGCAGACACTATCGCATTCTGGCGCGGCCTGTGGTCAGAGCCCGTAAACCACAGCGAGGGCCCTTGGACGGAAGTTGTGGCGAGTCAGTGTGCGAATATTACGCCCATGGACCCCGTCATCATAACGCCGGATGACGTAGTTGAGGCGGTCCGTAGGGCCCCGAACTGGAAATGTCCGGGGCTCGACGGGCTGCATCACTACTGGCTGAAGGGGTTCGTGGTGTGTCACGCTGTGCTCGCCCGACAGTTTCAAGAGGCTCTCGACCAGAAGTCGCTCCCGAGCCTCTTCACTACTGGGATCACTCATTTGGTTCCTAAAGATCAGGATACCACAGACCCGAGCAAATACCGCCCCATCACGTGTCTACCCACGATATACAAGACACTAACATCCATTTTGAGCGCGAGAATCAGTCGTCACCTGAACTCAAATCAGGTGATGTCGCGCGCTCAGAATGGATGTAGGGGCGGTGGTCGTGGAACCAAGGAACCACTCCTCATTGACGCGGTCATTGACAAGGTGGTTAAACGCAACCGTCGGAACCTCTCCGCCGCCTGGATAGACTACAAAAAGGCATTCGACTCGGTGCCTCATGCATGGCTTAAGAGGGTCCTCGAACTGTATCAGATTGACTGTACAGTTAGAGACTTCCTCGGGCAGTGTATGGGGCAGTGGAGTACGATCCTTTGTCATCTAGGCGAGCGGATGACGGCTGCGGAGAATCACATAAAGATAAGAAGGGGTATCTTCCAGGGCGATTGTTTGAGTCCAATCTGGTTCTGCCTCTCTCTGAACCCTCTCATTACCTTACTGAAGGGCTCCGGGAGGGGATTTCAGCTTCGGAAGGGAGGTACAAAAGTGACCCACCATTTCTATATGGATAATCTCAAGTTATTCGCCTCCAGTCGCTCTCATCTTATGGAATTGCTAAACATCACTTGTGATTTTAGCAATTCTATTAGAATGGAGCTGGGGACGGATAAGTGTGCGGTCCGCCATGTTGAAAGGGGAAGGGTTGCTAAATCTGAGGGCATAGATTTATCTATGCCCATCAACATAAGGACCCTTTCCGAGGCTGAAACATACCGATACCTGGGTATGTCACAGAACATCGGTGTAGATGAGGCGGGTATGAAACAGTCAGTTTGCGATGTGTTTTATGCACGCTTGACCAAAGTGCTTAACAGCCTTTTGTCCGGTGTGAATAAGACGCACGCATATAACGGTTGGGTCATGCCTGTTCTCATGTATACCTTTGGCATACTTAGGTGGACTCAGACCGAACTAAACGCTCTGGACAGAAAAGTCCGCACTATAATGACGTCCCACAGGATGCATCATCCGAGATCGTCAGTAATGAGGCTGTACTTGCCGCGGAAGCATGGTGGGCGCGGCTTTTTAAGCGCGCTTACCATGCATAATCGCGAAGTGTGCAGCCTCCGTAATTACTTTCTGACGAGAGCGGATGATCCATTCTATAGGGACGTTATTTCTTGTGATAAAGGACTTACCCCTCTATCCTTAGCCAACAAGCAATGGCGGGACCCGGCAGTACAGAGCATTTCCGACCGGGAGACCGTATGGAAGGAGAAGGAGCTCCACGGGAGGTTCTACAAGGCTCTACACGAGCCTTTCGTAGACACAGTCGCCTCCCTCCACTGGCTACGTTTCGGTGACCTCTTTGGGGAAACCGAGGGTTTTGTCTGTGCGATACAGGACCAGGTTATTAAGACCAACAATTATCGGAGATACATCCTAAAGGATGGCACCGTCGACGTCTGTCGAGCTTGTCGCCATCCCGGTGAGTCACTAAGGCATGTCATCTCCGGTTGTTCGGCGCTTTCTAACTCTGAGTATTTGCACAGACACAACTTAGTAGCCAGGATTCTACACCAGAAGCTCGCTCTGAAATACGGTCTCGTGGATCGGAAACTGCCGTATTATAAGTACTTGCCGGAAGCCGTACTCGAAAATGACCGCGCCAGGCTCTACTGGGACCGGGCCATCATCACAGACAGGACTATTCTTGCGAATAAGCCTGATATTGTGCTGATGGACCGGGCACAGTCAAGGATATTTTTGGTCGACATTACCATTCCTTATGACGAAATTATACCTGTAGTCGTCTCTGCGAATGGGTTAATTCCAATCAGCCTCTCGGGTCATCTGAGGCGACTGGGACTCCGTGACGGACCGCTCCAAGCTCAAATGCAGAAGGCGGTGCT